CCAAAACATTTGATGAATTGTGTTTTCTTTGGATCTCTCACAGCTGTGGAATGTGCAGTGATCTCTCTCGTGTGGTTGTGCTTCCTCCTGTCAGCAGAGAATTGAATTCACATCAGTTCAGATACAATCATCACATGGAAACCCATCACCACTTTTAATCGGACCTAAACCAGACTGAGAGTTCCACATATGTATCTCACCTACACATGTCTGGAGGGAAATATCCTGCTTACCTGACTCTGGAGCTTATTAGAGGCCAGTTGACAAGACCTCAGAACCTTAGTGTGAGTTGGGGTAACTGCTGGAGTCTAACCAAGTAAAACCATATAGCTTGCCATCGAGAGCTTTCTCTGTTGGGAAGAATCCCCATCTCCAGTGACTGGTCTGCCCCTCCAAGGCCTGCCGATGAGCCGGGCTAACTTGCCTGGAGACCTACAGGACCCTTATGGCTCAGAAACTACCCACCAAAGTGGGTTGAATCAACTCCGACATTGTGTTATTGTGTTACCATGCACAATTCAGCTCCTAGGGGACCCATCTTACATTCGCCCCCCACCCTCCCCCCCACCGAGGACAATCTCCAGTTGATCATTTGACATTCAACAAGCTCAGGTTTGCGACCTCACTAGGTGGGGGGAAGGTACCAGGAATTCCCTGCGAGCTTCCTGGTAAACAGCTCAGCTTCAATAATGTGATTTCAAGTCCTGACCTAAGGCATGAACCCACAACCTTCTGACTTCGAAGTGCGAGTGCTACCAACTGAGCCAGGCTGATGGTGGGAATCATCTGTGATCCCCGGGCCCCAACACTCGCACTCAGCCTCAAAGCAGGGATGAGATGCTGGACCACGTCATGGATTGTATGAAAAATGAGTCACTGATTTCAAAGGAGATCCAAGCCATGTCTGTGCGGAGACATCATATCAGATTTTGAGATCAAAACTGTGGTTTGCTGAAAGGAGGATTCTTTGTGCAGAGCTTGTCCTGTTATCAGAATGGAACAGGTTCCTGCAAATAATCTAATTTCCTGAGAAACGTTATTGCCTTCAGTTTTGAGGCTAAACTTCAGGTGAGCACAACTCTGGTTTCTGGCTTTTGATGTGATTTACACCCAAATTGGATACACACTGCATTTTACAATATACATTGATGACTTGGACATAACAATATAATCCTTGCATTTCATATTGCGTCTTATCACATTGTCAAAATGTCTCAAAGTGCTTTGTAGTATTTTACTGTAGTGACAGTATTTTCAGGCAAACAAATTTGCGCACAGAAATGTCCCACACACAGCCATGTAGTGAATGACCGATTTTATCAGGGGGATTGTTGACTAGGACACTGGAAGCCACTTCTTTTTACAAAGGGGATCTTTAACATTAAGTTGAACAGACAGACGGGACTTTGGTTTAATGTTTCATCTGAAGTCCTGGATTCCAGTTCCTTAGCAAATCAACTTCAAAATACTCACCCACGTTTTAAAATCTCTTCATGAACTTGCCCCTCCCAACCCTGCAATCTCCTGCCGCCTTGTGTCCTCATCATCTACTCTTCATGTTCAGGGACCCTAGCAATCGCAATGCGCCCACCATTCAACACTCAGCTAAAGCCTCAGATTGAAGTGAGGATTTGACATCTCTTTTACTGATATCTGGGTCTTCTACACGTGGATGATTGGAGTGCCATGACACGATATAAACTTGCATTTCATAGCACGCCTAATCACATTGTCAAAATGGAGTCAGGTAGCTTAGAGCACTATCCTTGCAAGCGAGAGGACCTGGGTTTGATTCCTACCAATGCAAAATGTTGGGCAAGTTTCCTTACTCCACACACCTGTGTACCCAGTGTACAATCCTACAGATAAATTGATCATTCACTGTATGATTGTTTGTGGGATCAATGCACAAGTAGCTATCATATCTTATATATGTCGAGAAGATGTGAAAAGGATTATATCAAATGCAAGCATTATCATTGTTATATCTTTATGTAGGAACAGGAGTTAAGCGAAACCAGACGCAAGCCAAGCCTCTCAACTTCAGTCTCCGGCCTGCTTCACGTCCCCTGCCTTGCTCGCCCCACTATTGGCGTGCGGGCCTTCCGCCACTCTGCACCCACTCTCTGGAACTCCATCCCGCAGTCCCTCCGTCTCACCCCCTCCCTCGCCACCTTCAAGACCCACCTCAAAACCCTCCTCCTCTTTGACAGTGATTTCGATCTCCCTGGCTCCCCCCCACCCCGTCCCCCAGCTCAGGTCCGTAACTCTGTCTGTCCAGCGCCATGGGACGTCCTCCCGACATGAAAGGCGCTATACACATGTAATTTTGTTGTTGTTGGTTTAGGGGCTGAAGGGGAACAGGCAAGTTTAACCACAATCCAGAAGCCATTTTCTCTACAGTATGAAATTTATTCCTGACATGCAAGTAGAATTTTGAATGAAGTACAAAAATATGTCATCTTTATTTTATACAAATTTGTATACAATGATCACGATTCCTTTCTACTACAAGTGTCATACGTCTAATACACCAAGTCATCATCGCATCATGCACTGGCCACTCAAATGTTCCAGTTCAATTAAACAGATCGCTTTTACCATAAACACATAATTAGCTGAAAAGAGTGACAGGACACCAAACTACCGTGTCTTCACTCAATTAGACAGTCGCTTTAAATTATACACAGAAATTGCTAATATGGAAATAGATTACAGTTCCCAAGCTGGAGTGAGGCTGAGAACTGGCAGAAAATCAATGTATAACCATGAAGATTTGAAGAAAGACCTTTACAAAGACAGGATTTTCCTCCGCTCCCCCAGTGGTTCAGCTGGTAAACACAACTTGTGCTGAGCTATTCCGACCTGAAAGGCTCTTGGTCGGTACTGAGTGAGCTGATGTCAGCCAGGATAGCAGTGTGAGGAGGAGCTCCCAGTGGCTGAGCAGAGGTCTGTGAGCAGGTCCTGCAGCACACCCCAGAGGAAGCAAAGAGCTTTCATTCTTCACTAAGTTTCAAATCAAGCCTAAACTAACCAGCAAAGGGAAGGCAGCATTTCTTAACTGTTGCACCCATGATAAGCTACCGTGGCCTTCAAAAGCCATTCTCAAATTTTGCAAGTTTTATTGCATCCATACGCAGGCTCACAGGAATACAATTGCTACCTATCGTTCTGCTTAACTTCACCAGCACAATGTAGAGTACGTTTTAATCAATAGGCTCACAACCCAATGACCCCAAACACAGAAGTACATCTCAGCTCTGTGTGACATCAAACAGATGCTCAATGCAGTCCCAAATGAGACTCAAGAGAATCTGAGTGTGTCAGATTGGCTGCACTCAGATTTACCAGGGTTAGATTTACATCAATCCCACATCAACTCTTAAGTGTGAAAGGGGATAACCTTTTAGATCTGGATATTGGAGCTTGATATGACGCACCTACAGTGCCAGCGAGGTATACACATCACTGTAGTACCCCCTCCCAACAAAGCACCAAGAAAATAATCAAACGGTTTTACCCCAAGATCACATGCAGCAAAAGCGCTTTCTACTGAACATTTAATAAATAACTTGCCAGCGAGTACTGTTGGGCTGCCTGTGCCACAGCAGGTCAGCCAACCCCAGGTGTTCTATAGCCCATCACAGACTTCTGTTACCGCAACGTAGTGAGTTTGCACAAAATAAAATTGAATAAGTCTGTGGTTTTCACAGGTTAACAATTTTTAGGCAAGACAGGCATTTATTACTGGTTTAAGATGTGTCGTTGTGTAATACTTTCACAGTAATATTCAGTCATATTTAAGAACCAATCATAATGTGTGGACCCAGCTCAAGACTATGCGGAGGTCTGTACTACTGCAGGTGAGTAACCATCACTCTGCTCTCCCCAGTGACTGAGCTCCCGTTTCGGAATCCGGCAATCAGGCTACACATGGCAACTGCAGCAATATTCACTATATTCACTGACCAGGTTTTGGAGAGTTAAACAATACTACAAACTTCACACCAAACACAGTCTGGTATCCGACCCCACAGCCCACCCATCTCTTAGCCAGCAGGTCTGAGACCGATTTTATTTCTCTTCTGAAGCAATCTTCAGACAACCTCCTGTGGACATGGTTACAATCTGCCCTCGTTCAGAGATTTTTCCATTTCACCATTAAAATCAACTCATCTCAAGAGGCAGGTTTGTGGTTGCCCAGGATATACATAGTCTTCCACACGTTTGCCCCTTACATGCCCAGAGTGTGCAGGTCTACATGGTATCTGGGAGACTTTTACTGTTTAGTGCAGCTCTGAGTAAAGGCAACTATCGGGAGCCACAAAAGAACCAATCCATGTGTTTAATGTGCACCTCCTAGTGGCCATTTACAGAACAGCAAGAGATGTGACTGGCTGTTTGCTCACTCAGCCCCCGAATCCCACTGCAGCGTAAAGAAACGTAAAATCCTAGATGACATACACGTCAGTACGTTTGTGTTATTCCTCAGCAACCTGACTACCAACACGACTTGCCTGTTGCCTACACGGTGACTGTGGGGTAAACGCTGCAGTGCAATCCAGTGGCGAATGCCCTTCTCGGACCACCTTGCTGGAGCAGAAACAGCAGCAGTGCTGCAGCTCTGCCCTTTAGTGTTTTACAGCTCAGAAAATTCTGCAAGCTCACAAACTGATTCTAGTGACCTGGATCCCAAATATTCTTGTTTCTGTATATAAACCTCTCTTCCAAGTGTGGGTGCGAAATTCATATTGTAAGATTGATCAAAAAAAAGGCTGTTTTTCATCATGAAACAGTAAACCGCTCTGCATTGTGTGCGTGTGTGTGGGGGGGAGGGGGGGGGGGAGAGAGAGAGGGGGGGGGAGGGGGTGTAAGAAGATGATAGAATGCAGTTTTCCTTCACATTTTCCATTGACAGACATTTTGTACCACACCGAATTCTGAAAAAAAATAAGTTCATGAATGCAAAAAACCTCCAACCCCACACTTCCCAACGCCAATTCCACCCCATGCAAAACACAGGCAAATGCACCCAATTTTAATGCTCTCACAATCTCTGCAGTACTAGTCTCTCAAGAGTCCGAAGCATACGACAAAGGCCTCAGCCGAGTCTCTAATCTATAACTCCAAGATCATATGTCTTAGTTATAAATGAAGAGGTAGATTACATAAAGTAAAACTAAAATATCTACGACTCCCCACGATACTGTGATGTCCGTTCTCCAATTTTTTTCTTTAAAAAATTGGTTTGATTTCCAATCAGTACAATTATCCTTTGACAAACACCTGTCCATTTTGCTACATATAAGTGACAGATCTCTATTGCTCAGGATCGGTACGTGGCGTGAGGATTGCTGTGCAGAAGTGCACATTGGGTTTCCTGCCGTCAGTTGTGTAGGTAGCGCTGTGCGAGGATGGCTGCGTCCAGGGGGTTGACGGGCTGAGCGTCGTGGCCCAGGCGCCTCACTGGAGGGATGTTGCTAAACTGACGTTTGTGAACAAAACTCTTGACCTCGTGCAGAGCGTTTCCCTCCGCTAGCATCAGCTGCTGCCGCATGTAATTCTCAAAGTCATATTGCGAAGATTCTTCCGTGACTTTCACCTGTAAGAGAGAGCAGAAGACAGTTATATCGATCCTGCTACCACTGCTCAGTGTAGGGTCAGTATAAGGCTAACTCGCAGCCTATGTCTGACTGCTGATACATCGCTGAACCAGACCGCTGGTTTCATGGTTTCCATCTCACTGTGGTTACTGACATTGCCCAAACACTATACACTTGCATAATCGTGGCCACATCTGCTCCAGTGTGAATTTATGCCCAAAGAAAATAATAATCCTTGCATTTGATATAGCGCCTTATCACATCTTCAAGATGTCACAAAGTGCTTCACAGAATATACTGTAAAGTGAATTGACTGTATTTTTGTGAGTGAAACAACCCTACTGGGACTGAATACACAACTCTTCACTGGGAAGCCAAGATACACGCAACAAACCAAACGTATCAAAAGTGAAAATAGCCTAATGATTGGCCACAACTATCCCAACCCCCTTCCACAAATTCTCCACTTCTGGTTTTACCTCTTGTAAAGTTTCTGGATTGTTGACTTGATCGTCAATATCTGGTACCACCTGCAAAGGACCACTGAGCGCTGACAAGGACTGCCTGCAGGGAATAAGCACACCGTCATATCAGCAATATCTCAACTCGGATTCTGGAGCTAAACATAGCACCAGCCAGTGTAGCATGACTCACACATACAGTGAAGGTGTGACCACTGGCACCGTTTGTATGTTTAGTTGTATCAGATTGCTTCTTAAAGTTAGCAACTAGTTTGTCAGATTATAAATAGTTTAGCCCCATTATAACAGGCCTCCCTACAGCACAGAGGCCTGTATAACATAGCTGTATACTAGACCCTTTTTGCTCATTGAGTGGGTATTTTGTTCATTGTTAATTAAGGGCTCCGGGACACTACCCGGCGTGAGGTAATGCAAGTTGTTGTTGCTTCTTTGAGATGAAATGACCAACCTCGATATAATAACCCTTGCATTTAATATACTCCCCTATTACGACTTCCATGACGTCTCAAAGCGCTTCACAAAACATACTGTAAAGTGAATTGACTGTATATTTTGTGGACGAAACGCAACAGCTAATTGTGCACAGCAGCGTCCCATAAAGAGTCGTGGATTGAAGTGACCAATTTATTACCCGGAGTCTGATAAGACAGGTGATTACAATATGGACATGCCGGCACTTGGCGGGAATATACGGGTATATGTTTAAAACCAGTATCGTTTAAAATCGATTTGAAAGGGATCATAAATGCACAAGCATGGTCGTCTTCAAGTGGGGGGAGGGGAGAGAAGCAATAATAAATAATCAGCTTTGAAGTGAATGACTCATTTTATCTGGGGGATTGTTAGCTCTGAGTCGCCAGAAGCAAGTGCCTTCTCTTCCAGAACAGTGGCATGGAGTCTGTTAATGTCCACCTGAACAGGCAGACGGGACTTTGGTTTAATGTCTCTCCTGCACACTGGGCTGGCCACCTGAAGACCTGGAGGTTGGTCATTTTTTAATGTAAGTACAAGAGAAGTTGACTAGCTCACTGCAACTTTTTGGATTTTTTGTGGTAAATGAAAGTCAGGTTCACACCCTAAAAATGCCGCAAGTGAATCCACATTATTCGAACAACTTGTAATTACACAGCGCTCTTCACATCGGAGAACGTCTTGGGTATGCTGTAAAGTGGCAGGGTTGGTGCCAAGCAGGGAAAGAACGGGGATGGGTGTTGTGACCATATGCACAATCAAAACTTGAGGTGGGACCCAGAGACAGAGAGGGTACAAGATGGAGAGGTGGAGGGAGTGTAGATTCTGAAAGCTCAGCCACTGATGGTGACACAGTGAGGGAGAGAGACATGCGACAAACTCACGTTAGTTCAGCAGAGGAGTGGGGTAGGAGACCAGAGAGATGGGGAGGTGCTAGGGTAGAAAAGCATTCATAGGCGAGGGCATGGACTTTGAAAATTGGTCGGCTGGGAGACACGGAGCTTGGGGTGATAGATATGCAATTTGGTTCAGGTGAGGATGTGGGCAGCAATGTATTGGATAAAAGTTTAAGGTTGGTGGAGCTTGGTAGACCAGCGAGGAGTCTATTTCAACAGGGTTCCACTTTACAACACACAGACACTCACCATGTAGCTATGATGGAGCTCAGTGAATCCAGCACCTCAGTAGCCGTTAGTCTTTGCTGTGGGTCAAGCAGCAGCAGCTTTCGAATCAAACCCACCGTGTTTTCTGACACGCGGCAGTCTCTAGCAGGAGCAAAAGGGTCAAACATGGGAGGTTTCTGCACGGTATAAGGTCATTCAAAAAAAGATTTTTAAAAATTATTTTTTATTATTATTCATCCCATTTATCAGCTCTTTTCAGGTTTCTTGGGGGTCAGCCAGGTGTTTTGACACACATGCGAACCCATCTCCACACTTAAAAGTATCCAAACCAGACTTAGAATTCCACAAATTTGCTATCTACATAGATATTTCCCTGCATTTGAAATGCAATGTGCACACTCTCCCTGGAGGAATGCACCCGCTTATCGATGAGATAATCTTGTAATTCTGGAGAATAACAGGCACAGGTTGATGAGACCTCAGAGTGTACAATGGGGAAATTCTGGAGTTCAAACAGCTAAAAGTGGATGCTGGGTCCATTCACATTTTCAAGACTGAAGTGGATAGATACTGGTTAGGTCGGGCATTAAGGGACATGGGGCAAGGGCGGGTAATTGGATTTAAGGTACAGATTAGCCATGATCTTACAGAATGGCGGAACAGGCTCGAGGAGCTGAACAGCCTATCTTGTTTCTGCGTTTCTAAAACTGCTTTTGAGAGTACTGTTTGGGAAACTTCCCCCTGCTTGACCAGCAAGGCCTCCCCTACCTATTAGGGCTTTGGCTTTCACAGTGAAGATGAGTGAAGTAGGCAGAATCCCTGTCCCCATTGTCCTCTAAACCCTGCTGACAGCCTACCTGGTACTGCTCAGGTACTTACTGTGTTCTCTTTAGAATAATGCTATTCATTCCCTTGTTGAAATACATTTTAACCCAAACAACCCTCTGATTGAAGGAATTTCATCCTAACCGTTCCCCTAATTTTTCTAACAATCCTTGCCACCAATTCCATAACTAAAATATATTTTCCACATCTATCTTGTCAGACACTTCAGCATATTAAATATCTATATCATTATCTCCTTTTAATTTACTCTGTTCTAGTGGAAAGAGCCCCAATTTAGCTAGTTTCATCTATATATTCTTTCATGACTGGTATCATCCCAGTGAATCTGCATTGCACCCCCTCTCTCTCAATCTCTATGATATCTTTCCTGTATGGAACACTCAATATTGTATAATAATCCTTGCATTTGTTATAGCACCTTATCACTTTAAAGTGAATTGACTATATTTTGTGGGTCAAACGTGGCAGCCAATTGTGCACAGCAGTGTCCCACAAAGTCGTGGATTGAGTGATCAATTTATTATTATTATAAATGGAAACATCAGTTTTACACTGTTAAGACATGTAAACCGAATGAGTCAGAGAGCAGCAAAACCTGGCCGAGTGACCAAAAACTAGAAGAGTACGCAAAGACACTCCCAACTCATTCGCCGCCACCCTCCCAACAAAACAAGCTACTTAAGACAGTTGTGCAAGTCGCTTCAGAACAAAACAGAGATCACACGAGGCCAGAAACAAACCTCGCACTCAAAATCTAAAAAAACTATCTCTTACTGAATGAAAGATCACTGAAAGCAATTTCTGGGAAGTTTACAATGTGAAGGGACAAAGTTACTCATGGCCAGGGTGCTGGAACGTTCTGCTGCACAATCGGTTGCTGCTTTTAATTATAATATAATGGAAGACTACGAGTTGGAAACTATTGCTTTATGCTGGCGACAGCTCGGGACTATTATAGGGGAGGCTTCACATCTGGCCGTCACGTTAAGAGGGAGGCTTCACTTCAGCACAGCTAACAGCACAGGGACTTCAGCGGCTCTGAACGGAAGAGGTCTTTGTTAGCAGTTGTTTTCCTCCCCTTTTCTGAAGGTGATGACACTGATGGGATGTGGTCACGAGCACTGCCCACTATCCTGCAACTCACTGCAATTGCTGATCTTTGTGAGAGCGTGCCCAGTCTCAGGTGAAGGGGCAAAGAACTGATCTTGTTAACTCTCAATCCTGTTCTCACCTGAATACCATTGGACTGTAATCAGGAGCAGGAACCCTTATTGATTTGCCCCTCCCTTGCCAAGCGACCCTGAAGCCAACCATAGCCCTGACTGTGAACAGCTAACTAGGCCCATGTTGGGGAAGGAACAAGAGACCATTTGGTGCATGGCTTAGCTGAGAGGCATTACCCACTTGGCCAGCAGAGGAGCTCCAATTATTCTGATGAAAAAAATCTGAACCAACAAAGGTTGAACTTTCAACTCACTCTGGGATAGTGTATTCAGCTGCTTTGATTTTCCTGAAAAGTTCCTGAGGTATGCTGTCATAGAAGGGGAACTGTCCGTAGAGCATGGTAAAGAGCACCACACCCAGTGCCCACATGTCACTGGGTTTACCCCGGTAAGGCCGGCCTGAAAAACAATACACTGAATTAGCTTTCCATCCTACTGCAAACAATTGTATTAAACAAAGACATTCATTTCACATTTCTCCATAATCATTTCAGTTTTCTCTGCAGAAATCCATAAGGTGATTAGATAAGCATATGAAAGGAAGTAAATTAAGAGAGCAAGATGAGAGAGGGAATTGGAAATAGTTGAGACGGCTTCATTGGACGAGCAAACACTAATGCAATACAGGTTGAATGTCCTCAGATTTCTATGGCTCTATATGGGCTGAAGAGGTTAGGTCAAGCTGAAGGTGATGGGAGAGGCTGCCCGGAAACAACAACTTGAATTTATATAGGCCCTTCACGTGGGGTAGCGTCCCTGAGCGCTTGACAGTGGCGAAGTCTGACGCCGAGCCAGGGAGAGAGGGAGGGGGGAGTTGACCATAAGCATGAGTGAAAAGGAAGGTCTTTAGGCGACATTTGAAAGTCAGGAGGGAGGGGCAAGGCGGAGGGATTGAAGGAGAGAATTCCAGAGTTTTGGGGGGTAGTGGCTGAAGGCACGGCCAGGGGACAAGGGGCAAACAGGAGTTCGGAGCCAGCCGAGCAGGTGGGGGAAATGGGTGATAAGCAAATCAGATAGGCAGGTAGGTGTGAGGGCACGAAGGGATTTGAAAATAAGTGAGAGGATCTTGAAATCAAAAGCGTTTGAGAGAGGTCTAACCTCAAGGTAATCAAACATTGATAAAAGATGTCAGCTACTGAGAGAGAGTGAGCAAGCAAACAGCGGCATTGATGGTAAGAAACAGTGACCACCGGGTTCTGATGGAGCTCAACCAAGGTAACCAATTCTGTTAATATTCAGCTGAAGGAAATTAAGGCTCAGCCAGGACTTGATGACTTGACAGTTTGATCAGAACAAGCAATAGTCCTGGAATTGAGGGTGGAAGTGAAGATGAAAGAGCTGGGTGTCATTGGCCATGCATATCAAAACTGAGGAGCAAGGCAACTGGGGGCAACATGAGAAACATTTGCAAAACTGGAGTGAAGACCGTGGGACAGACGTGAGTAGAAACAAGAAAGTGTAATGCTACTGAAATGTCCAAAGAAAGAAGATAAAGGAGAAGGATTGTGCTTAGTCTCTGACTGTAGAATAAGTGATGCAAATATAAACTGGAGAATAAGGAAATGAGAAGTACACGTTTTCTCATCTCTGCAGCCTGGAGGCAGACCAGTCTCTGCCAAATCCTCTCACAGAACCAGTCAAGGGCCAGCAGTGTTGGCACAATCCTGTATGCGAATTTGATACTCTCTAGTTCCTGTGTGGGAATCTCCCCCACACAGCTCATTCCACCTCGCTGTAGGTAAATAATTATCAGAACACTGAACAGGAAACTCAGGCACCCAGGACCCTGCTGGGACACCTGGAATGGGGTGTTACAAGTGCAAGCTCCAGCATTCAGAGTCTGGCATGCAGAGCACCCAGCAACGGCTGCAAAGCTTCACACCTCCAACTGGCGGAATCACAGCTCAACGCTCCCAGTGAATGGTGATAATGCTCTCAAACACTTTGTGCTCAGTAGGAGTTCCTGACACCAGCTATGCATTCAGTGAGAGCTCAAATTAGCAGTGTGATGCTCAACTTCAGGGTATCATCGGGGGGGGGGGGGGGGGGGGATGTAACCCCTGCTGAAGTAGATCCCGGAGTGGAGCACATTCCTATGTTGACGCCTGATACACCACTCTACAGGCTTTCCAATAGCGGAAGGAACAGGCTCGATGGATCAAATTATCTGCTGTAGCTCCACAATTTGTATCTGAAATGTTGTTTCTGATAAATGGTGCTTCAATCTAACACTAGGGTGCACAAATATAACAATCCTTACATTTGATATTGCTCCTTTCACATCAGAAAGACATCTCAAAGTGCTTCACAGAATATACTGTTACATGTCATCACCATGTATTTTGCAAGCAAACTTGGCAGCCAATTTGCGCACAGCAATGCCCCACAACAGCCATGAAATGAATGATCAATTTTATTTTAGAATAAATTATAATTACTGTATTTTAATAAATCCATTGCCTGCCTTGGATTTCTCTCTCGGCTTTCACTTGCTGTCTGCAGTAAACTTTAGGAAGAAATAATCCTTGCATTTGTTATAGGACTGATCAAAATGTCTTAAATCATTTCAGAAAGAATTGCTGGAAAGTCACCTACGAAATGCAGTCATCACTTCACAGTAACTCCTATGAAGCACTTTGGCATGTTGATGATATGCGAAGGCTCTAGGTCAAATGCAAGGATTATTATTATCTTCCAGACATTACGGTTTATAGACACTCAATTTCTACACAGCAAGACCTCACAAACATCTTTGAAGAGCCGATGACAATCTATCTGGAAGACTGTTGGCCAGGACTTCTGAAGACACTTTCTTCTCTTTTCCAATAACATCACGGGACCTACAACATTCACCTGAACTGGCAGATAGAGTTTTCGAGGGTTTAGTAGCTTGGGTGCAGACCCCTGACTGTTCAGTGCTTGGGACATCCTCCTGACGTGAAAGGCGCTGTACAAATGTAATTTGTTGTTTAGGGACTCCTCCAAAGGATGATCCCTTCAACAGAGCAGGAATCCCCCACTAATACCCTGGAGTGTGAGGGTTATCTATGAGTTCGATATCACTACATGAGGCTTTAGCAAGAAACCACAATGCAGGGAATAGCACAGATGAACTTTCTTTTTAGTGACAATACATCACAGAAATGACACCACATTTAACCCACTCAGCTTAAACTGTTGCCAGATCAGCTGTCGGAGCTAAACCAATTCTCTATTCTTTCCATCTACTCTTTTGCACTCTTCCTCTTGAAATGTATATCGAATTCCATTTTAAACCTCATGGTCTCATTAACAAGGACATGTTTGTCAAATCGCAATGCACCTGGGCATTTAACTATTATTGCACTTAACGTATAAATGTGATAAACCGTGTACATGCTGTGGTTTCAGGAGGAAGTTTTAACAACTGGGAGGCAATCCCATTTCCAGCAAGGAAGGAAGTGATTCACTTTGGTAGGAAGAATAAAGAAGCCAACTATACCCTGCACGACAGGATCCCAAGATCCTGCAGAAGAACTTAAGATTCAGACTTCAATGTAGCAGCAGAGGTGGACAAAGCCATAAAAAAATTACATGGAGTGTCCTGAGCTTTATGTCCAAAGAGTAATAATAAGAGGAGTAACGTTAAATTTGTATAAAACCTTGGTTGGACCACATTTGGAAAACTGTACAATTCTGGTTACTATATTACAGTAAAGATATTGTAGCCTTAGAGTGAGGAATATAGATTAGTAGAACAGAAGGGATGGGGCACCTATTGATTTTAAACACTGACACAATTAAATATAAATTTAGTTGGGCCAAGTGGCTCAATTCCATATCATGCTGACTATGTAACCTTTACCCTATTTACTAATTAATCATTTGGTGCTATGCGCCTAGTGAGGGAAACCAGAGAGATGGTTCTGCCAGTTACTGTTTCTTTTCCCTTCCAAAGCCACGGGTAAATGAAAGTGATCCCTTATTTTAGGGAATTCCATTTAGATGTAATGGATCCCTCTGCCAGCTTGTGCTGTATTATTTACCCTTCGAGTATTCTAAATACAGCCCGAAACCTGCCAATCATAATGTTAGACCATCAACCATTCGAGTGCTGGAGACTCAACTTGCAGACCAACCAATAGAATGAAAATCAACAATAAAACTTGTCAGATGTTACTGTAATATCCCATGCTCTATATTACTATTCAAAGAGAAAGGAGTTTCTCAGGTGCCCTGGAACAATCTTGCAGATCAGTTGGTCACAGCTGTGCATGTGTGTAAACAATTTGCATTTGTATAACACCCTTCACACAAGAGAATGACTTGGGAGTGTTTCACAACGATAGGTCGACCGCTGAGCAAAGGAGAATGGAGAAAGCTAGGCACAATTTAAAAATGAAGAGCAGGAGGGACGGTGAGTGAGTGACAGTGACAGTGGATAGGCAAGACAGAGGATGTTGAGGTGGATCTGTTGGGAGACAGAGGAGCCAGGCAAGGACAAGGGACTTGCTGTATGCAAAATGGCTACTGCATTTGCCTGCAAAATTAAGCTTGCATCTCCAACCTGCCTTTCCTAGGTACTGGAATGAGTCACTGGTTTCCCAGCTTCGCTTACCTTTCCCTGCATGACCGTGACCGTGGCCCGATCTCTTGTAGCACAAAGGACATCAACCACTCTGACCTGGTAGTGACCCTGTGACACACCACCTTTAGACATTCAAGGCTGGCCTCTTGACACAGAAGGCCAGTGGCCAGTAGCCAGCCAGACAACACTGTACAATGGTGGGGTTGGAAGCTGAGCAAAGGAGAAGGGGAGGAGGACGTGATGTTAAGAATAAGCAAAGGGATATGTCTTCAGGCGGGACTTAAAAGATAAAGAGGAGGCAAAGCAGAGGTGTTGAGGCAGGGAATTCCAGAGGATACGGGGCTAGTAGCTGAAGGCACGGCCACTAATGGTAGGATGGAGTGGGTCAGGGGACACGTAGCAGGCCTGTGTTGGCTGACAGAAGGTGGTAGACAGAAGATGGGATACAAGTGGGTCGGAGAGGTAGGGAGGTAGGACATGAAGGGCAAGGATCTTGAAATCGATCTATTTGGAGCCAGTGAGCCTTGAGGTGATGGGTGTGGAGTTTGTTGAGGGTGGGGATACAGGATGTGGAGTTTTGCATGAGTTGGACCTTCTGGATGATGGAATTGGGGAGTATATAGTAATAATGATCCTTGCATTTGATATAGCGCCTTATCACTTCTTCAAGACTTCTCAAAGTGCTTCACAGAATATACTGTAAAGTAAATTAACTGTATATTTTGCAGGCAAGAAAAATAATGAAAGGCAACACTTGGGGAATATGACCTTTGCTTTAAGTGTCTTATGTTTGAACCATAAATAGGAATGTCAAATTCAGGCTGCAAGTTTGCTAGTTTAGAAATTTTTTGTGAAAATAATTCAATCAACAAAACATTGAATTTTGAATATTCTGAAAATCAGCTGTTCTATTCATCTTATTCCAAAGCTACTAAATTTGAAACTTTCTGTACTGCATTCGTCCATGACTCCAAGACTATGCATTGTGGTTCCCAAAGATGGTAAAGAGGATTAATACACATTTCCCTGGCAGTTAAACAAGTCAAATGCAAGGATCATTTTTAAACGATTGGGAAAATAAGGGGAAAAAAAGTGGGCGTAGCGTGAAGTTTTCCTGTCGTGAGTCACTATACTTTGTAAACACAGTTATGTGCAAACACTATCTACCACATGCCAAACTCACGCCTTCGTGTTCAGTATTTAGTCATTACACTGGAAACTCACCACTCAGTACATCTGGGCTGATGTAGGCAGGGCTCCCCCGCTGATCTTTCAGCAAATCATCCTCACTCACCAGGTGCTTTCCAAGGCAGAAGTTAGTGATGGTAATTCTGTGGGTCCTGTCAGAGCAAATAAGAAAAAAGAAAAGTGAGTTATGTTTTTTTGGGGGGGAAGGGACAAAGGAAAGGAAACCTTTAACTGGCTGCAGATAGCCAGAACATTTCTGTAACAAAAGTCAGTGTATAAATCACACATGACCTCACAAAACTCATGCTTCTTAACATTTATATTGAATTGCAATACGATAACCAATGTTTTAAGTAAGTGTTTTAGGGCAGTTTGTGTGGGGAGAAGGGGAAGAAACGGGAGGAAACAAAGGCTGAAGAGAAAGCAATAGATACATTCATTACCACTGTTTCAAAGTGATTTTGACACAAAGCTGTATTTCCACATTATGGGCAGTTACATTCCCTTCCCCCATGGTCCCAACATCTCCAAGTGCCACTATCACCTTGTCCAAATAATTATATAGTAGAGCCCACTTATGATGCTTCATTATAATAATACTTGAAAGTGATTTAGCACCTGTAGGAGAACATCTCAAAGCACTTCACAAGATATAGTGTAGAGTGTAGTCAATGTGTAATGTTTGTCGGCAAACTTTGATTGTCCAGATAGCATCATGCTTGGTTGGTGTCAAGACATTTCTGCACCATTTGTGCTGTATAATCCCAGGCGGATCAGGCAAACCCCTGACTGGTTGGCCCCGAGCCTCACTGACCCCATTGTCAAGTCTACAGAAATGTGGATCTGGAGACAATAGGTAAAGCCTGGTAAATACCTGAGCGCAGGGAGAATGTCAAGAGGTAACAGCAGCAACTGCCTTGCTAAGCTAAAATGTGTATTATAATAACCCTTGCATTTGATGTAGGGCCTTATCACGTCATTGAGTGGTTTCAAAGCGCTTCACAGGATATATTTTGTGGGCAGAATACATGGCGGTGCATTACACGCCTATATCTATAGAAACTTGAGAGGCGGCTTAAGTAAAATGTTACATCATGTGTAGGAGAGATTTGAATAGCATCCGGCTAAAGGGAATTTCCAACACAGGTTTGATTTCTCACACAATTGTGTTTTTGGGGAGGAGGAAGTAAGCGAGTATGAATGTGAAGGACACACAGTGTGGGGCAGGGCCGAGAGCAAACCAGAAAAACCAAAACAGGCTGAAAGCTGCAAAACAGATGTAAGAGGTGGGTGCACATCATCCTGTTTGCAAACTAGTGAGTCATCTGTTCAGGCTTGCCAGGGCTGCACAAGAGCTTGCTCTAGGTTCACTTTGGTTAGATTTAAAGGGGTAATAATCCCTTAAAAATATATTTGGTCACTCAATCCACGACTGTTTGTGGGACTTTGCTGTGCACAACTGGCTGCCGCGTTTTGTCCACAAAATATAGTCAATTCACTTTACAGTATATCCTGTGAAGCGCTTTGAGACGTCTTGAAGGCGCTATATCAAATGCAAGGATTATTATTATTTGCTGAACTGACACAGTTCTATCAGCTGACTGCAATAAACCACACATTACCTTAAATTGAAAAAAAAACACAACTCAAGACAGTGCAGTTATAAGACTACAGCTATCAATTGATTCACCTGCACCTTTCACTTTATTTCTACAGGATTCAGGCATCAATGCCTCGTCTCCTGCCTCTGAAAGCATCAGAGCTGTAACCAGCTTGTGTACTTGCTCAGGAAGATTCATGTTTATATTTTTAAAAATACTAATTGTTTGATAAAACATGAGGCAGGGGTTTCAGTAAAATGTTTAAGCCCAAAAACTTACTGACAACTTGCAAAGACTACTCAAAATGTTATTGGGGGAAAAAGAGTGGTGAGATAAAAGGAACCAGAATAGGCCATTCAGCCCCTTGAGCATTCTAGAAACAAATAATAATCCTTCCATAAACAATAATAATCCTTATGAGTTCAAAGTCCTGAACTGGGGGCTCAAACTCACAAGCAACAATGCAGTGCATCCCCAGGATGTACTGTATTAAGAGTGTCAGCCTGGATTGCGGTTCAAAGGCCTGACTTGGGGACTCAAACTCACAACCTTCTGACTCAAGGAGATGAGAGTCCTCCTGAGACAGGATGCCATTGGGAAACATTCCATACAAAACAAAGCCATTCAGTCTATCTTTTCTGAGCTACTATTACCCATTTTCCTAAATCACCTTTTTTTTTTGAATCGTTGTGAGGGGATTTTTCAACATTATTCTGTTGCAATAATGCAACTGGGGATAAACACCTAATTCACTAACCACGTATTACAGGTTCAGTTCTTGTTTTAAAAAAAGCATCACTCCCATGAAAATAACGAATTAAAGATACGTGATACACCTGGCTTGCAGAATTATCTGGCCATCTGCAAATAGCTACATTGATTTGGAAATGCAAATGAGTACAAATGGCTTACACTTCACCCAGCAAACTGGATTTCTTCATTGGAACAAGCAACTTACTTGAAGCCATCATACAGTAGTTTCATTATAAATCTGGAACAGGTATACACACATTACTAAGCAACGGAAACCACACGTGGCTGCAGTTAAACAAATGCGGTATGACTCACCGTACTGCAATGTTGTACTTCCATAACAACCTGTACTGAATGTTTGAAGCTGAATTTATATTTCTCAATTTACTGAGTGGGAAAACAGTAAAAATACTTCTGTATTTTTTTTAGAAAGAGAATCTAGATGAAATCGTAGCCCCATGGACAGAAAACAGATGCACGAAAAGCAAGATGATGTTGATTATTATTATTATTATTGAACTGTAGCATAACATGGGAGCATTATCTGCCGATTGAAAGATCTGTACATCAGTAGACCAGTGCGTCTCAAAACGAGTCTCAAATTGTTATCCTGGTACAAAGTATTTCAAAAGGACAATTTGTGAGTGTTGAGAAAGAAGTGGAACAACTTCAGTCACAGACTTCAGCACTCAACTTTGCATATTACACTTCCTAGTCCCATAGTTTAAGTGTCAGCTTGCCTTAGTTGGTAGCAATGTGCACTCTGCATCAGACAGATCAGAGGTTTGTGGGTTTAAGCTGTATATCAGCGAATTTGAGCTCACAGTCCACAACAATGTCGGTGCTGCTGCTGTACAGACGAGTTAAACCAAGATCCCATCTAGATGTTCAGGTAAACATAAAAGATCCCAATATAATAAAATGGAGGTGCTCTCAAAGCGCTTCACATTCTATAAAGTTGTAAAGTGCAGTGACTGACTATCATGTTTACCTACAAATACAAACAATAATCCTCCAGGTAATTGATCTCTCCCCACCCGAATTTTCGTGGGACATTTCTGTGCTCAAATTGGCTGCTGCAATTACCTACAAACATTGTTAAGTGTAATAATAATCCTTGCATTTGATATAGCGCTTTTCACGTCTTTGAGACGTCTCAAACCCCTCACAGAATATACTGTAAAGTGAATTGACTGTATATTTGTGGGTGAAACGCAGCAGCCAATTGCGTAAAGCAGTATAGTGGCGATAAAGTACTTGAAGATGTTTTGACAAAGATTACTACTATAATTACATGTACAGTAAACTCGTGGTTTACCAGTCTCCGGGTATCCAGAATTTGGACCCTAGCCCAAAATGGATTTTTTTTATATAAATAAACTTTCCGCTAGCCTACATGCTTGTAGATTCGTGCCAAACCACTCTTCTCACCAGCCTCACAGGGATATCAATTTTGACTCAGATTGTTCGAATCCCACGATCAGAAGATAACTTATTCTCTATCCTCTGTCAGTGGGATTCAAACAATTACAATAATAATCCTTGCATTTGATATAGCGCTTTTCACATCTTCTAGATGTCTCAAAGCGCTTAGCCAGTAATTCCCTAATTTCCCACCCACACCCTCACAATTGGTCTGACCAGAAAGGGTTTTAATGCAATCACAAATTTTAAGTGATCCACATTTGCTGCATAGCAATTCAACAACAACTTGCACTTAAATAGCCCCCTCCACGCAGGGTAGCGCCTCAGAGCGCTTGAATTCATTTAGTCTTGGGCAAAACCCAGCTAAACCCTCTTATAGGGAAATCAAGTCTCCAGCCACAAAATAACTAAGAATTGAACCTTTTCCCAGCAACACGTCTTGGGATGCGGGACAGGAGAGAAGAGTACAGGCAAGTGAATTCTGCAGCTTGGGACGATGTACATTAAACGAGCCACTGTTCTCAAATCACCTGTCACTTCCCATTTTATACACATAAAACTACTTGCCACAGTCGTGTGTGTGGGGGGGGGGGGGGGAATATGTGCCCCAAGCTACAAAAGTCCCAGATTCAATTCTTAGTTTGCTCAGAGTTGCATCATCTTTGGTGCAGCAGTGTTGTGCGAAGGGCACTTTCCCAATGTCATAGAACCCAATCAATGAACCACAGAAACAATCATAACTGTACTGCAAACAAGAGCTCAAACATGTAAAAGTACAGGCTGTTAGATTAATCTATGCAGTCATGACCATTCCAGCCCAAACAAACAAGATGCAAGCCTGTAATTCTCTGAAGTAAAACTAGCTGAGCCAATCTCAATTTAGCTTCTAGCAGATATTCTAGCAGAATGTTCCAGTACAGAAACAGTTGTTCAGTAAGATTTTAAACCATTAAGTCTGATGTTTTTCTCCACATAAACCACCTAGTTTATTTTTAATCCCGCACTCCTGCTCCTTCCAAATATACCTTAATCTTTTTCAAACATATACCAATTTTCCTTTTAAAAGAATTCATGTACTGTTCCAACATAGTTTATGGCAAAGAATTCCACATTCCAAAACTTTATCCCCCTAATCGCCCCATTTAATTCTGTCATCAAATTTATGCCCTCTTAATACTGACTCACCAACTAGTAGAAATAGTCTACTTTTTTTTCCTCTCTTTATAATTTTGAAGGTCACCTTCAATGCTCCCAGCTCTAATATGAAGGAAAGCATGAGCTCAAGAACCAACACGGGACAGGGTTTGAACCTACACCCTTTTGGACAAGAGCCAAGAGTGCTACCAAGTAACGTGGTCTGGGCCGAGCAATTTTTACTCTTGCATCTGGTTTTAGCAAGTGCCAAAATCTAAAGCTGAAAACATTCCATTCCCTGCACAAACACCAGTCACCTTGAAGGGCACAAGAGCGGAACCGACTGTAATTTCAGCAAAACCTTAAACCTTCAAAAAAGACAGTGATACTAAAAACAAATTTCAATGACTCAGCTGCAGTCTGTCATAAAAGGGGTTTCTGTGATTATAAAATGTAATGCTCGTTTCAAGTGATTAAGCAATGGATACATAGCTGGAATTTAGAGTTTTAACAGTTCCCTCTTTGGCAAGAAAACAATTGGAACTTTAAAAACAGAATTAACCGATTTTAAAAAAAACATGAAAGAAAGGAAACTGAGCCAGAATTGTGTTTAAGATTTTAAATCAATGGGAATGTGTTTCCTGCAAAGGCAAAGTCGATCAGAATATCTAACACTGTAAAAAGCAATGTGTAATACTTCCACTTGGCTAGAAACCATTGTGTGTATATGTGATATATATATATATATATAGAGAGAGAGAGAGAGAGAGAGAGAGAGAATGAAAATGGAAAGAACAAGTACTGACTTCTGATCGATGACAAGAAATCAATGTTAAAATGTCATAAAAACCCAAATGCAAAGGAAGAGAGGAAGTAAACCACAAACACTAGGCAAGATATTTGTTCCTTTATTATTCCCTACATGCCATCACTCAAGATTATAAACAGACAAGACATGGTTTGGGCCAGCGAAATTTGCTTCTGGTGAGTCATCACAAGCAGAATTCCTCTGACAGAGGCTTGGGAGCTATTGTTTGCTTGTAATGAAGTGTTCGGTGCCTCTCCCTTTGGATGCAGTCGTAAGAACTTTAACTCTCGAGCGACTCAACCTCCCTCCTGAAGTATTTCTGTATTTGGGTCGCTCAAGCGTGAACGATCTTACTACTGGCTGTTGATGGGAAAACGTTGCTGTGGGCAAGTTGGCTGCAGCGTTTGCCCACAAAAACAGTTACTGTTTTTACTAAATGGCTGCACTTTACAGCCATACACTATTATAGAATCCTAGAATTATTCAGCACAGAAGGAGGCCATTCGGCCCATCGTGTCTGTGTCGGCTCTTTGAAAAGAGCTTCCAAATCAACCCTACTTCCCCGCTCTCTCCCCATAGCTCTGCAAACTTGTCCTCCCCAAATAATTATCTACTTCTCTCTTAAAAGTTGTTATCGAATCAGCTTCCACCAGCCTTTCAGGCAATGCATTGCAGATCCAAACAACTTGCTATGCGAAAAAAAATTCTCCTCACCTCTGTTTCCTTCAACAACTATTTTAAATCGGTGTCCTCGGGTTACCGACCCATCTGCCAGTGGAAATAGTTTCTCCTTCTTCACCCTATTGAAAACCCTCATAATTTTGAAAACTTCTATTAAGTCTCCTCTTAACCTTCCCTGTTCCAAGGAGGATAATCCCAGCTTCTCTACCTCTCCTGATAACTGAAGTTCCTCATTCCCGGTACCATCCTGGTAAACAGATACACTTTACAGTTACTGTTACTAAACAGATACTCTTTACAGGGTATCCTGCTTAGTGCTTTGTTAAATTGTCCCGATAAGTGAAAGCTGCTAAACCAAATTGCAAGGAATGACCCATTATTATATTTATGGGGCTTTTACTAAGTTATTCCTTGGTACATTTCAGAATGCTTTACGATTATATTATTACTGTATCGAAAGGGAGATGCACTTCATTCCTCACCACACAGAAGTACTGCCATGGAAAGCCGCACTACAGTCTTGGGGATCTGATGAAAGAGGATCAATATCACAGAGCTTCAATAGTCAAAAAAATACTCTGCAAATAACTCCCATTTTCATCATTTGTAAAAAAAATCCAAATAATACTTTAAATTTCATTTTTAAAACAGAAATACATTTTTAAAAAATGAATACTAGTCTGTGCCTGTGATCACAGCTTTACTTCTGCATATGTTCTCACATTGACAATAACCTGCACCTACCTGTCAGAAGAATTAGCCAGAAAATCATCAGAAAATATCTAGGTATAATAATAATCCTTGCATTTGATATAGCGTCTTCTCACGTCTTTGAGACATCTCAAAATGTTTCACAGAATATACTGTAAAGTGTAGTGTCTGTATATTTTGTGGACAAATGACGCGCAGCAGTGTCCCACAACAGTTGTAGTTTGGGTGACCAAATTATTAATTTTTTGAAGGTATGTGATAGTTAGAAACATGAAGGGGTATGGGGATAGGGCAGGGCAGGCAGATTGAAAGAATGGGTGGCTCTGAGAGCAGACGGGATAAACTGAAGGGCTCCTTCTGTGCTGTAAATGTCTACGATTCTAGCAATTGAAACGTTAGCTTCAGGAAATTGCAGATCCAGGTTACCGGCTTATATTCACCCGTTCTACAGGAACAGTCTTTCAAGCTTGTAGCACTCTTCCCTGTGAACACAAAATGCTGTGGGTTCAAGCTCCACGTTGGACACTATGAGCTGATAGTCTAAAACGACACTAGCACAGCGTTAAGAGCTGCACTGTCAGAACTGTCATCCTTCAAAACAGTCAAACTAAGCTCCCGTCTCCCTGGGCAGGTTGATGTTAAAGATCCCAATGACACTACTCAAAAAAGGAGTTTCTCAAGTTGTCTTGCACAACAATCTTCCAAATAAATTGGGTCATTTGCCTCCTGTCTTTTTATGGGTGACTTCTGTTCGCAAATAATCCGCTGCGTTGGATTAGAAATAGTCACTATAAAGAGTCTGAAGTGCTTTGAGACTTTAACATAAGGCATCATATGAAATGCAAGGCTTTTATTATTTAACCTGAATGGCTTGTCTCCTTGCACAGTGTTACTTAATAATAATTAACTGTTACTTGTTATAAGTGGTACTAAGACACAACACAGCTCTCTAAGTAAGATATATGTCGTGGGATGAAATGGACAGCAAAATCCTATTATTTCATGTTGCAAAAAGGAAATTCTCTCTGCCTGATTCCAAACAGAAACAAGTACACAAACAAGTAGCCCCTTCCCCAATAACGTTCATTGTTTTCAGACTAGCCCTAGCCGCAGTATTTAAAATCTGGCCCGCCCCAACCTTTATAGAATTCCCTGATCCAAGTTTACATCTGCTTATCCTCAAACAGTCATTAAAGATCTTATGACTCGATGGGAAAATATTTTTCCCCCCGGTGTCCTGGCCAACAATTAGATTAATTGGTCATTCACGTCATTGCTGAGTAGGACCTTGCTAGCGCAAATGACCACCTATGTGTCCATAAAAACAAGCTATAAGGAAAGCACGTAAAGTGGGTTAGTGGGTCAATGGGCATTTCTTGTATTGTAGATTTCTATGGTTCTTTAGGATATTAATAGCTCAACACATCTGCTGTTTGCCAAAATAATCATTCCACTTGACAATTACTCTTTGGCAAAACATTGAATCCGTGAACCAATGTCTAAGGTGCTCTATAAATACTAGTTCTTCCTTTTGCACTGTATGAAAGTATGATCGCTTTCTATTCAGTAATATTACAATTTACCCACTCCAATTTTATTTTGATTTTCCCATTTGTTTTCTTCAATAGCCTGCACCACAACAGTCAAAGGGCAGGGCATACCTTTGTCACGAAGAAGCCCTTCAAAACATTCAGAAGCCATTATATTTCTAACCAAATCAGTGGCACATCACACCAGTAATGCAGCCAAATTGAACCAGGAGGAACCAAACTATATCTGTGCAAATTAGACATAGCAACAGCCCAAAATACAATCCATTGAATAGTCCATATTGTTGCTAGAGACTAAGATTAGGCATTTCAACAAGGCATCACCATTCTTATTTGCAGTAAAGGCAAAAGGTAGCACTAAAGAGCGGTTTGGCTATTGAGTCACTAGCTTGATTTTTCCAGACTCTTCTCAGTTTTCAAAAAAAATTATACCCAGCCTACACAAACAACCTAATTTTCTCAGATAAAATTGGACATTTCATGGCTGTTTGTGGGGCACTGTTATGTATAAATTGGCAGCCCTATTTGCCTATGTAATACCCTTACAGTAATTCCAGTCTGGTGCTTCGAGATATCCTTTCAACAAGAAAGGCGCTCTATCAATTATGAATATGTCCATTGCCTGGATATAACAACTTGCGTTTATATCACACCCTTCACACAGGAAAGCATTTGATCAAGGGATCAATGGCCACTGAGCATGGCTTTCTCTCCACAAACTTTGACATTTTTAATATTTTAACAGTGTTATCAAATCAGAGCTCAACTTAATGTGATGCATTTTGAACCTGAAAGCGAATGCAACAGCCAATTTGCCACAGCAAAGTCCCACAAACAGCCAGGTAATGACCAGTTTACCTGGAACATGTTAGCCACGGCAGTGGGGGAAACTCTCTTCTTTTTTCCAATAGAACCATGGGATCTCTAACATTCATCCAAATAGGTGGATAGGACCTTGTTTAACATCTTACCCGAACGATGGTACTGACATTGAAGCACTCGTCACCACTGCACTGGAACAGCATCATAGATTGCAATCTCCAGTAAAGCTCCAGCATTGCTAATAATACACAAACACTAATAGTCTTTGAGTTACCTTTTGTTTAGCACCATGTTTCCCAGCTTCAGGTCTCTATGCACAATGTTCTTCTGCAGAAGCAAAAGGAAAACATTACTTTGGAAACTGAGTGCAGTCCTCCAGGAGAGTTAAGTTATAAATAGCTTTAATCTGAAAAGACATCACTAACTAACCATCTTACATTTCATCAGAAACACCAAAAGGAGTTTGATAGCAGGCTGCTCAGATAAAGGTGTCCAGCATGAGACAGAAACGATTGGGAACAACAAACTGGTGAATCACAGCTGAAACACTGTGGTGTGGCTCACTGTGGTGTGGCTCACTGTGGCAATTTCATCACAAGGGAAGCACCCAAGATGAGTTCAGTCATCTTTTCACAGAGCAAAGGAGTCAAGGAAAAGTAGAATGCACCTCTGCTTTTTTTTTGTCACAAAGCTCCACCATGGGGCTAAAAGAGGGGCTTGCTGCCAAAACATCTACACTGAAGAGAGGTACAATACAACTTACATTTATAAAGTGTTCAGTTCAAACATCCTCATGTCAGGACAATGTCTCAAAGATCTCGATATTGCTTGCTAGGCACCCAGTAAGAGTCAAAGGGGAGGAAGGGGAAAGATAACCAAAAGCACAGTCACAGGGGCACATGTTGAGACGGGCTTAGCCGTGACATTTGTGGGGGAAAAGAGGGGGAAGTAAAAGTGTCCGGAAGCATAGGAACAGCGAGGAGAGGTTTGGTCCCAGAGGCCAGACAGGTAGGGCATGTGGTGACCAGTGAATGGGGGAAAACTTTCTATCGGTGGGAGCCATCATGAGCCCAGTGAAGAATGCCCAGGCTGGGAGAGGGAACCTGTGGTACACAGGAAGGAGATGAGTCAGGGAGGGCAGTGAGAGAGAAGCGAGTGGTAGTAGTGAATGGTGGGGGACAGCCGAGTGGGCTCAATGGCAGAGGATGTGAAAAACTTAATAAAAGCATCAAATCCTAACCACAGAATCAGATTACACAGTGCAGCCATACAGCTATGATTAGTTGATTGGTATGTAGAGAGGTAAGCAGCTATGTAGTACAGTTGGAAGCTCATAGGGAGTTCCTGGTACCAGCCATCCACGGAGTGAGGGATCAAACCTGCACTTCCTAGATGTCAAATGACCAGCTAAAGCTAGTGACTATCCTGGGTGGTGGGGGTGTGAGGGAAGGTAATTGGAGCCTTTATGGAGCTTATCTGGCTCCATGCTTTGCTACAGAATGTTGGAATTAACTCACCAGGTGTGTAAGTAACAGCACATTGGACAGGAGCTAAGAGGGGCAGAACAAGTCATTGGGAGTGAGGATTCTTCCCACTCAGCTCCTGTTAACACTGCAAACCCAAACCCTAACAGTTAAAGTAATCCTAGCTGGAGGGATGCGCCCCCTTACCTAATTCAGGAGAGCATTAGGTGCAGGATGATAAGAGCCAAGTCTTGAAAAGCCTAGAGCGTACGTTGGGGTTTTGCTGGAGTCTAACCAGTTAAAACAGCATAACTTGCCATTGTCTGGCAAGCTTTCCATCGCCTGTCCAGTTAGTCGAACTGTTGAGACTTTGCATGCATAGGTTAACAGGAACCAGCCCAGCTTTAAAGAGACCATGGGTTATGATGCAATTTTGAGCAAGATATTAGAAGTCCTACTAACACAGAGTTAGACACAGGTTGTTCCGAAGTTCTACATAAACCAAGCTCCTGATCTTAAGTTATGATGTTGGTGAAGAGGGGAGAGGTTCCCATGTACACTTCCCTGACACAGGAGGGAGAACTTTGAACTGGGTTGGTCTTCTGCATCTTGCAGCTCCCCAGCATTGGGTAATGGAGACAGCACAGAACTAATAAATGGTTGGGCGGGGGGGGGGAAGGGGGAAAGAGATAAAAAGAAACATTCAAAACAATATTCTGAAGCAAGATCATTTGATCTTAGATTGCAGTTCAAACCCAGGTCAGGCAGATGAATCACAGTCTCCTCTGTCTGATGGCTATTCACTAAATTCTGCTGATTTGAATCTCACTGAACGCAATCAGGATAAGAGGAACAAATACCTTTCACTGGTACAGATAGGATATTGTTAATGTGGGGTTTCAAATTATAGCACAAAACTTGATAGTTCCTGATATGGAAACAGCATCCAGCTTTTCCCAGTCCTCTTTTCTGAGAACAAATTAAAAGTATGTACCTTGTGTAAAGCTTCCACTACCCGCACCACGTCATAAAATATTGCAATGGTTTCCCGCTCACTGAGTCTTTTCTCCTTGATGACATAATGCTGTAAGTTGATAAGATCTGCAGTTTTGTCGCTAAAGTCGTGAGCGCAGAGGCAGTCCAGAACCAAACAGATCCTTTTCTTCATCCTTCGAACAAGCTTGCTCACTTCACACTCCTCCACAATAGCCCTATCCTACAATAGAAAAGAGGCATTTTGAGAACCTCATCGTCAGTGACAATTAGAAAGATATGCTGATATATCATACCACTGGTCTTTGAGAATGTAAAGCAGGCACTGGAACATATTAAAAATTATAACCCCTGAAAAGAAACTGGAATTTCTTCCGGTGTCCTGGTCATCAATACCCAATAAAATTGGTAATTCTCTCAACTGTTTGTGGTACATATTGCTGTGACAAACGTCTCGCAAATAATAATAATCCTTGCATTGGATACTGCGCCTTATGAAACTGTCAGACATCTCAAAGTGCTTTACAAGATTTTGCTGTGAAGGATCATGACTGTGGCAACCAATTTGCATTACAGCAACATCCCACAACGTGATTGACCAACTGCGAATTATTTGAGAGATTGTTGGCCAGGACACCGGAATAGAAATTCACTTATTTTCAAATAGTGGTATGAGATCTTTAATATCCACCTTAACAGGCACAGACAGAAAGCTTGGTTTAACATTTCATCCAATAGATTACACCTCCAACAATGCATCACATCCCCAGCATTGCAATGTCAGCCGAGGCTGATTTTAAATTCCTGACGTGGTGCTTGAACCCAGAACCTTCTGACTCAGAGGTGCGAGTGCTAGCGTGCCAAGCGCTCTGGTACTCTACCCCGCATGAAGAGCGCTATATAAATGCAATTTGTTGTTGCTACTAACTGAGGCAGTATCAAGACACACTGACACAATTTGACAGACTGTCAGTGATCCACATCACTTGCTGTCCCAAGTTCAGTTTAAATGTCAGCTGTGTGGTGTTTTGTAAATATGAGTTGAAGCAAAGTGAAGAAATTTGCAAAATTTTAATGTCACCACAGCCCAGAGCTTTCCGGGTATGCCTGTGCGATTGAGAGCAGATAGTAAAAGATTACACGGCAGGATTTTAAATAAAATATACAGACAATTACCTGAAAGAGTCCATGGTGATGGACCACCCCATCCTGACTGTGAAGAAGGGAGAGAAGCGAGTACTCAGTGTGCAGAAGCATCTTCCCTTGCCTCTCTTCCTGAGTTTCCATCCCCCTCTCACCTCTATCTTCAAGTGTGAGAATCTGGGTGGAGAAAGCAGATAAACCTCTGAAATAACAGCTACTGGTTATTAAGTGCCGAACATGGCGAACCAATCCCTACCTCTGGACTAATACTAGTATATATTAATTTATATTAGAAATAAAAAAAAATTAAGCAAGTGTAGTCTTCAACTCAAAAGAAAAAAATGGGCGTGTATCAATTATCAAGAACCTGCTTCTAGCTAAGCCATGTTGTTTTCCTGTTTTAGGGTTACTGGCAGTAGCAACCTTGCAGTAATGACTGGAAAACATTTTCCTGGCAATAAACATCCTGGACTTTTTTCAACATTGGATCTGCTATTGCCTCTGCAGAAAATTGCTGCCATCAAATACATACACCAACAGCATGACAATGAGATGTTGTCATAACACATCTCACATGCACTGTTCCTTTCACATCTCTCCATCTCTGCTACCGTTATTGACCAATCAGGGAATAGATAAGGGTATCAGTCACAAGTTCCGTGCCGTATCTAAATGCAAAAACATTACTGAACACTTATCAGTGTCACTATCGTCACTTATCACTGTCAGTGGTTAGTGTCATTATATTGTACAAACAATGGGCACCGAACCATAGTAACATGGGAACAGAAGCTGACCATTTGGCCCATCAATTCTGCTCCACCATTTTATTAGATCACAGTTGATCTCCAACTTGATACAATTTCCCTGCCCTTTCACCATATCCCTTGCTGTTTTCATCCACAAAAAATAATCTGCCTCCATCTTAAATATTTCAATTCACCTGGCATCTACAACTGTTCAGGATAGTGAATCTCACATTTCCAAAAACCCCTGTGTAGGGGAGAAAAGAGACTTCTGCTTTGACTCCACTGGTTTAGCTCTAGTTTTCAGGTTATTTCCTCTTGTTCTGTATTTCCCTACCAGGTCAAACCTACCTTGTCAAATCATCAATCAGATAAACTCTCAATCTTCTTAGCTCAAGTAAATAGAACACAACTTTGCCCACCCTCTCCTCATAATTTAGCCCATGAACCAAGGTACAATTCTGGTGAATGTGCACCACGTACACTGAGGTCAGTACATCGTTCCTGAGGTGCACCCAAACCTGAACACAATCCTCTAGATGACGTCTTGCTCGCTTTTATATTCTAACTTCTTGAGAAAAAAGCCAACATCCCATTAGCCTTTTGGGTTGCTTTCTGTACCTGTACAATGTAACATTGGTCGGTTACTCACCTTTAATTGATAGAAGTCATCTGTTCCATCTTTTCTCGCCAAACACTGAACAATGCTCTGCACAGGCGAATTTCCCAAGCGAGGACCTAACCAAAAAAATTGCTTTAAAAATAATGTGCACGCTTCTGAGATTCCTTTTACTTTAGTGCAAGACCTGTGACTAACTGTCACAATGACATAAAAGACTTACCCAAAGCGGAGGATTTCACTCATTTTTTACATGTTATTTTTCGTAATCAGGATCCGAAAGCAACTATTCAGAGTATGACTAATCATTTCTGACTCATGAAAAGCCATAAAAATGCACAACTGACAAATCCTATTTAATAATGAAATGCATTTTCGAAACCTTTTAAAAAATTCAGCAAAGTAAGTATTCATCTTATTTGAAAATATTCCTGTTGCCTGGAACAAATAAAGTTCACCGCACTCAAATTCCCTTACTTATCATCCTTGGATAAGTCACTTAATTTTTACAAACAAGAAACACTAAACTATCAATACCTGTTAATCTAACACATTGGCATGTCAATACACCCAGTATGGAATGTTTACAGAACAGAATTAAACCATTCAAAGCTATTTACACCTATGCTCTTGACACTTAATTATACCACTTTTAAATTTTATGGACTTGACTATAATAGCATTTTGTGATAATAGTCCATTGTGGTAATATTAGATCAACTATCTAATTCTTCTAATCTCTCTCTTCTAGTGATAATCCACCAGAAAGATGCATTGACAAAGCTTCAGTACATTTGTGATAAGATACAGTTCTTATTCTCAGAAACAATGGCACCTCAACAGTTACTGCCTCCATCTTCCCAAGAACTGGCATTACATGAGCTACTCTTCCATTAGCCAATAATTCAAGCTATGCCAGAGAGGTGCAACATGGCCGAAGAATCTGTTCCATTACAATTTAGTTATTTTTACACACAAATATAGGATGAAATAAACCTAAGAATTTTATGCTGGGTATTGAGGACTGCAGAATGTTTGTCCAAAAGGTTACCGAACCAGTCGTTATTTCAGACTGATCTTATCTGCTTAATTATGGATTAAGATATTGCTGGTCAATGTTGCGGCCAGGAAAATGATTGCTTGATTTACAATGCTGGAATACAGCGTACCTCACACGGCTGAGAGTTTCTCTCTCATTGACATCAACCCTTGAAATGCAATTTTTTATGGGTAATGCTTGAAAATAACTGTCAGCTTAAGTTTTACTATTGACCTGCTGTTGGATTCCTGCTACAGATCGATGTCCTGACTTCCTATTTACAACACATTAATGGGGATGACCACAATGAATCAGCTACCCCTACGCAAACTGGAAAAAAGAAATCATAATCTGCGCACCAATGAAAAAGGTTCGGAGTTTAACATAATCTTTCCTTCTCATCGCTTGCTCCTTTTCTGCTGGAAACAGTGGGCCATAGACAAAAGTCAGCTGGCAATGCAAATGTGCCCTTGTTGGGGGTGGGGGGGGGGGAAGAAAGAAGAGAGAGGAGGAAAGAGAGCAAAAAAAAACATCACATTTGAGACCAACACATAGGTCCATTCGCAAGTACACATACATTGCCTTCTTGGAACTTTGCCTCAGTAACAAACCGCAGTGGACCTCACCGTGACCCACCATCTAACCCCCTTAATCGAACACGGGTGCACCGCACAGCCATTTGGCCTCTTGCACAGAAGGCACAGCAAGCTTTACTGTCAGCCTACATAAACACCACCAGAAATTTTTCAGGATGAGAACGGTAACCATTGGGAGGCAAATGTTGCACTAAACACAAATCCAGGGTTAATTACTGACAACAAAATGAAACTTACCCAAAATGAACGGTCCAGCTCTTTTACTGTTGCTCCCAGAGATACCAACACAAAGAGCCTTGGATCGAGTGGAAGATTCACCCGCTCCTCTGTCTGATGCTCTCCTCTTCATCCTGCAGCCTCCACTCTAAAGAAACATACAGAAATGAAAACCATTCACATGCCTATGTTGATTCTATATATTTATACATACATAAAAAAAATATAGCAAAGCCAGTCAAAGTGTAGGTAGCCTGGCTCAACAAGATGCTAAGAGAATGACTATACAAAGAATAAGTTACCAATATGCTGCCCTACAGCTTAACAAGTCAGTCCCTACAGCAGAGTTAATGACCTAGCAGCTTCCAAAGCCCCAAAACAAACTGGTTGCTGCAACAATTCCTTGTCACAGAAAACTGGAAAATGAGTAATCATTGCCGAATCTTCTCAGCATTAGCATGGGCAGGGCATGTATGTGGAATTCAAAATTCAAGAGAATGCCTGCACAATGAATAAGATTATTAGTGAAGAAAAAAAGACACGCACAAAAGGTTCATATATTTCAAGACCAACAAATATTTTATGACCAATAAATCTCTGAGGAATTTCCATGTATAGGTGGGATGCATGGAAATTTGGTTTGGATACTCTTAAGCATGATGATGAGTTTCCACATGTGTCAGACACCCAGCAGTCCAAAAACAAAGACCGTACTAACACAAAATTACTTGAAATCAGTGTAGCCAGGATCAGTTGAGGACTTTGTACATTAAAAGCACACCTCAATAAACATATGTATTATGGAGAATGCCCCAACTCTCAGCACATCAACAGGTCCATTAGTCCTACCATACAAAATGTGCCCTGTGATATGCCACCGGCACCCAAATAACTCAATTTCTGCACTGAACACAGGAAAATCTGATTTTTCCAATCAGACACTCTGTTCAACTCAAACCTCACAATTGTAATGTTGAAATACTCTGGGAAATCAGCAAGGGTTAATGGCACAAAATTACAAATCTAATTCCTGAACCACAAATCCTGGATATTCTGATCAATGCCATAACAGAGTGCTTTAATTTCCACCTGGCTATCTAAAATTACATTAAAAGTAAGGAATTGGCAGTTTGTTACTTATCCTTGCCTCAAAACATACTCTTAAGATCAGCAAATTTTCCAACATTAACACAAAAGCCCAAAAGGTTCACACTTTCAGTGCATTAACTTTGTGAGTCTTATGGTTCTTTACATAGTATTATTTTGACAGAGCAATATTATAAACCAGCAATATATGTTCCTGTTGTCAAATATCTGAAACTTGTTTCAAATTTGACACATTACAAGTTAGACGTAATTTTCTCTGCTTTATAGCTCACTGTGCAACCAAGTTGGTGATTTAAACATGCTGGACACCCCACTTTGTCATGCCTGCCGTTTAATAATGATGACCAATCATATTCAAAATTGCCAAGTAACAGCAGAAATTGGTTCTCAGTTTTATAGATGTACTTCTCTGGTTCATAAATAAACTGCAACACCACAGCAGAATATTCGACTGGGTGATGTGTGCCTGCCACATCTTGGCAGAGTACGCCTTTCATAGCAGGAACTGGGTAATGAAGCATGTGCATAAATGGAGAAAGAGCAAACAAGTAATTCATTTTCTCCCCAAAGAGATACAACAGTTCTTGGAAGTAGGTGGTTATTAATTGGTAATGAGGTGATGCTCAGTACCACAGGTGCAGTGACCACTACTGAGTATCCTCCCGGGGGGGGGGGGGGGGGGGGGGGGAGAGAGCGCTGAACTGGTTCCAAGGTGACATAGACATGTTTAGCAAAGGAATGTCAGAATCGAGCCAACCCTCTATTGCAGTCTCAGCAGTCGAGTTCCTAAGCCAGGCAGTACTCCAGGGCACTGCTGATGACAGCAGTCGGTCTGGCTCATTGGCAGGACTTGGAACGTCAGACTGTCACTGGAGGCAAGGACTCTTCCTACTCAGCTACCGCTGGCTGCAAGCCTAAGCCCTAATGGATTGGGTGGCCCCAGCTAAACAAGCAGAGATATCAATGGCAAGATGTGCGGTTTTAGCCGATTTGACTCCAACACACATTCTGGAGTCCCCAAGCCTTGACTCTTGCCAGCTTAATACTCTCTGGAATTGGGTTAGCAGGATGCATTCCTCCAGGAAGAGTACATATTCCACTCCAATACACTGGAATTTCTATGTGCACGTGAGATGCACAGAACTGTGTTTCGTTTGGATATTCAAGCATGGTAATGGATTTCTGTATGTCTCAAACACCCATCTCGGCTAAAGTTTAAAAGGCAAAAGTATGGAATCACCAAACAAGCTTCAGGGGCCTAAAATATGATCATAAAGTGCCAAAACGGCATTCAATTCCCTCCCCAACAAACTTTCCCCTCTCTTGAAGATACAAACTCCTTTTTCTCTTCCATGAGGTACAGTTCCACAAGTACCACTCAGCCTCTGGTTCCTCCCTGTTTTATGTGAGCTATAAATGCCAGAAACATATACTACCCCACCACACACACTTTCCAGTGGGTGAGGTCACCGTTAGCAATCCTGCCCTGATACAACAGTTCTTGGAAGTAGGTGGTTATTAATTGGTAACGAAGTAATGATTTTACACCTCTTTCTATCCCAGGAACACAGAGGTAAAACATAGCTGCAACTGCTGCCCAAATGAGAACAGCCAACTCAGATGCACACTTGCAATTACTCTGAATTTTGCCTGAAAATCAGCCCTCCTCCAAATAAACTGTTGCTTGAGTATTAGGTCAGAGTTGCTCTTTAGCAGGTACTAATTACCCATGTAAAACTCGTTGGCCAGGAAATTAAATGGAAATTAATGACAACTCAAGTTCACAAGATAGAGTACAGGTTCCCTCTTTACATACAGCAACATTCAGGACAATGCAATGGCAATCAGAATATAACAGTCTATGCCAATTCAGCCCATCAAGTTGAGCTGCTGTTTTTTCTCCACATGGACTAATTCCACTTTCCTGCTCACTCCCATACCCTTTAATATTCCTCCTCTTCACAAAGCATAATTCCCTTTTCAAAGAATTTATAGACCAAACCGTGCATAGAATTTTTTAACCACGTAAGGGAATGTGGTTTATCATAATAATTCTTGCATTTGATATATTGCCTTACCACACTGTCAAGACTCCTCAAAGTATTTCACAGGATATACTCTAAACAACAACATTTGCATTTATAGTGCCCCTCACGCCGGGTAGCATATCAGAGCGTTTAAATTTACATGCTGTAAAGTGGTCTGACTGGGTCTATTTGGGGCACTTTTCAGATTTTTTTTCCAAAATCTATCAGGTACAATGTAAAAAGATAATGGCAAAGATTGTGGCACATAAAATTAAGTGAAATGCAGCCACCTGAAAGGGAGATGGTTGAAGGGCAGAAAGCAAAGAGTAAGGCTAAAATAACATTTCTTGGAGTGGAAAGATGTAGTTAATAGTGCTCCCCTGTTTCCTTACTGAAATATACTTGACGTGACCTCTACTCGTTTCCTATTTGGTTAGTCCTTTTGCTGGTCTGTGTTTATTGCCAATTTTTCCTTCTCGTTACTCTGGGAAAGATCCTTTTTATCTCACTATTACTTGCCCATTGCTTTTTATTCTCGTACAAACTAATAAAATTGGAATCATGGTTTCCCAACCGTTCCCAATACTCGAAACTCCATCAAGGCACCTCTGTAAAGACGGTTATGAAGTGAAATGGCTTGCCTCTGGAGGCATGATTCTTGTCTAGAAAATAGCATAAAAAGGAGAACATACATTTTAAAATAGACAATTATTTAATCAGAATCCAAAATACTGCAAATGCTGGAAATCTGAAACAAAAACAGAAGTCGGGTCCACGACCCTTCATCAGAACTGTTTTTGTTATTTATTTAATCAGTGTATTTTCACAATCAAATCTGCAGATCAGCTTTGACTGTTTGTCTGTACCAGAAAGTTCTGTTTATTAACAAGTTACTGTCCAGCTCAAAAGTATTTTGCCAGCTTGCAAATTCAGAGCAAACCCTGCAGTTTTGCAAATTAAAATGCGACTTAGAATTGTGGACCTTTTACTGCAGTTTAAAGGTGGATTGTACAAGTAGAGCTGATTTATGTATTGCATTCTGGAACACAAAGCAAAAATGCATCACTACATGGCAATCATTCAAAGTAATGAAAGACAAAATTGGTTTCACTTTTAGTACTGGGAAGGGACAATACAATCAAGGACAATTAAAAAGGTGAATGTTTTAATAACTAGTACGTCACTTTTATCAGCAGAATGATGGAACTGAACATAATCACACAGCATTTATACGGTCAAATATACAGTCAATTCACTTTACAGTATATTCTGTGGAGAACTTTGAGGCGTCTAGAAAACGTGGTAAGGCACTCTACCAAATGCAAGGATTATTATTATTATTTCTGTTAAACATAGAATTGGAATATTTGAATTTCTTTCCAAGACAACAATTTTCTGTCAAGAACTTTCAATGAAACAGCTGTTGGGATGAATATTTTAAAACCACACCAAAAAAGTAGCACGCATTAAACAGCCAGCATTCATGACTAACATTTTCCATCAGCACCCAGTACACAACCCTCACTCCACAGAAGGCCCTGAATACAGCTGCCCCCTTCCTTCCTTTCTCCCTCCATAGCCCTGGACACAGCCCTCAATCCACTGCGGATAGACTAGTGTTAAATTTAAAGATCAGTCTAGATTTTTCAAGGCACCAATCACAAATTATCAGGATACATCTTTCATTGTGAAAATACATTTCCACTACTCACTTTAATTTTTCTACTGCTGCTATTTTAGATATTGTCAACAATGGCGAAACTGCCTTTAAAATTGGCAAAGAATAACTTCCATAGTTATTGAAAAAACTGCACTGTGTTTGTAACATTAGGTAGATGAGTCATAGTTGGCAGCGAGACACAAGGCATAAACACAATGCGGCTAAAGTCACAAGCTTCCTGTGGTCAGCCCCATGAGCCTAATGTGTGCATTATGTCTTTACGGATTGACAGATTCAATTTAGAATACACACACCAGTAGCTCGAAAGTACTGAACGTCACTCACTGGCCTTGA